AGTACATGCTTAAACTGGCTTTTACCAGAGAAGCTGACTCAAGATGACTAAACGAGATCACGTGTAACGTGACCAAACAGCTTTGGCCGAAGCTGGACGCGGAAAAATCCAAACATCTTATCCTTCTAGACCGATTTTCCATTAGCATAACGGCGTGCATAATAAATGGACACTGTTTAATGGGGTTCTAACGATTTCTGCCGCGACTGTAGGTACGATATACGCATGACACACTTCTAAGACTGACTCGCTCAGTTGGACCCAGTGAATATTGGAAATCTCGTTGCCTTTATAGGCCCCTCAGCGGTATCACAATGGGCCTATTGGCCTAAGTGTGCAGACAACAGCAGCCGCATCAACTCTACTCAACTCAACTAGAATCGAACTAGTTTGCATTTTTGTAATAACTAGTTGGTCTTCCATCTTTTTTTCATGTTAGAAACTGCTATCTTTAACACGGTGATGTGTTACGAACTGTTAAGTATTCGACCATGCATCAGTTTTATACTAGTTGTATATCAGTAGTTTAGGCATATTGAAATTCTATTGTACCAAAAAAAAAAAAAAAAAATTAGAGGGTAAAAATGGGTCTGCCAGTAGCGAAACTGTGAACCTTACGTGGTCCCAGGATATACTCTAACATTATGCTATCGTAACGATGAAGCGCTGGACGCCATTTTGTGCCCTTCTACCGAGCGTAACTGGGTAAGAAACTCAGTCGTGGCGTGCTAGATAGCCAACTGGTATGATTTCATCAATACCAGTATAAACTGGTATTTAACTAGAACTTTTGCATACCAGTCTAGCTTCTCCCTAGCAGGGTTACTTCCATTGGTAATGCGTATTTTTGCTAGCATTATGCGGCAAAGCATACAGAGATTTCCCCATCAGCAGTGTATACCAATCAATGCCACCCACAGCTATCGGCTTGTTCGCTCGCCTGCTGAATTAATTCACATAAATTAAAATGTGTCTGCATCGCTTTGCCAGCCTATTTAATTTGCCGGAATGCTTTGTGCCACACCTGGTCACCGCCCACTATTTTTTTTTTTGGTGATTTTGTTGCCTATTGGTTTCTTTTTTTTGGAAAAGGACTTTGTGGTACTTACCTGTATATACATATATAATGTGTAAGTGGTTGTAGGAGCGTACAGGTGAGCCGCCAGGCTCAATTGCCATTGGCGTGTAGTGATATTTAGTAAGCTTTAGTTTTCAGTCGATTTGTTTGGTTGTGGGATTTGTAGATTTTTTCTTTAATTAGTTGGTCGAATACTGGCTTTTTGTATTTTTTTTATGTGGTTGTAATCTATAAATGGATAAAAGGTTTTACTTGTTTATAGTTACTATAAGGCGGACCCTAAGACCAAGTATAGCCAAGTTCTTCTGCAGCAGGTATTTCCAACGGAGTATAGGTCCTTCCCTTCCTTTGCTTCCACCGGAATACGAACAATATGAACTAGCCCATGTAGTTGTTGTTACTTAATTAGCTGAACTGACAATGTTTCGCAATTGCCAATGCTCAGAGGATCATAAATATAATATGCCAAGCCTTGTTATCTCCATGCCTCAGCTCCATACAGCATGAAGGCAACGATGAGCAGCATGTAAACTGTGATCTTAGTTCGTTGAGAGAGAATAAGAGTGATTCTGCGTTAGATTTCCGTGTTGACTGCTTCCAATATAGACGAAGTTATCTACGACTTCAAAGTTATGACTGTCTACAGTGACGTGGGAGGCAAGTCCCGAACGCAATGACTGTTTGTTTGATGACAGCAGATATTTGGTCGTGTTCTCTTCGCTTACTTATCCAGCATGGAGAAAGCAGAACTCACGGCCCGGTTGTTGAGACAATTGATGAAAATCACTTTGTTGGAAACCTCGTTGGTATCGAATGATCTGAAGAGGTTTTTCCTGATTTTGATAGAGTTATTGGTGTTGCTTAACGTCAATATACATTTTGCGGGTATAACGGAACTTACTTAAAATCGACGAAGAGCTGGTTTGTCGAATATATTGTCATTTGTGAGTTTACAAGATCTAAAGCCACTCAGATAAAGTCCAGTCATCGTGTAATCGTTCTATAGCTGCTCAAGAAAACTACTTGATCTTTACCTCTAAGACCGTTAAAAGAGTATTCAGCGGCCCGGGTGTTGTTATTTTCGTTGTTATTTGAAGCTGTTCAATGAAGTCTTCAAATGAATTATCCAAATTTGTTATTAATTTAAGAGGCGTATGCAATTTCAGATGAACACTTGTTGTATATCTCTTGTTTATAAGCCAATTTCTAAAGTTTTGGATCAAACTTGGACGTAACTCACTGAAAGCCAGCGTACAAAAACCTCATTCGTATCGGATAGATTGAAAATTTCGAGGAAGCTTGTTTTTGCCAGATAGCATAAGTTTATGATCGATCGCGATAGGCCACTGTTTTAACCGAAGCGATCGCGAAGTAGTTTGAAAGTGAACTCATTGTCAGCCTAGCACGATCTAGTGATCATGCCTATTTCTGAGTATTCTCTCCCCCCATTACCGCCAACTAGTGCTTTCTTGGCATTATACGTTACTCCTAGATCAAGCAGATCTGGTGTTTCACTGTGATCAGTAGTTTTGTATGTCTTGACTAGATTCCCAAACATAATGTTTTGCTGTTAGAAACTTCCTATTCAATTTAGAATTGATAGTAGTGAGCTGAGGAGAGAGCAATATATGACGGAAATGTTTATTATACCAACGTTATAACATATATAAATTTAGATTGAGTCAAGATAGCCTTTGCAATACCAAAAATATTTCCTTTAGTTATCCAAATCTATTGTCTTTCATAAATTTTTTGCATTAAACTGCTTTGTAAAGCCAATTCAATCATTGTAAAAGCGATTTTTTCCATGAAAATTTGCCAAATTGTGAAAGTGTTAGCATCTCTATGTTGCCTCAAAATGACTTTATTAGGCAAAAGAGAAAGCATTCTATACCCTCAGGCGTAAAGCATTGCGAATTCGTGTTTGCGTACATATAATCTGCATGGTCCGCTTACTTAGGGGATTGTGTGTGCTGATTTCTCACTTTTCTCACTTTGTTTTGCGGTTTCTTCATTTCCAATTACCCGCCAGCATTTCTTTGTTTATGCCTCAAGGCAGCTTAGACCTTTGTTTTCGTGTTGTTTAGCTATTGGGTTAAACTCTTAAGGCTCACAGCTGTATCCATACATACAAACAAAGCCAATAAACGTTTAAATTTGTTTGCTCTTTTGAGTGAAATTATATTTTTTCAGCTCTTTTCCTACTTACAAGTCAAAAAATTTAATTTTTCAAATTTAAAATGAATTTTCTCATACATATATATGTTTTAAATTATAAGGCTTATGGCTACTTTTTTATTTTTTCATAACTTATTACACTTTTTATCATTTGTAAATATCTGAATAATTTTTGGCTGTGTTTCCAAAGTGCACGGGGTTATTAATCTTACGTAATGTCTTTCACTCGAAACCCCCTATTGTCGCCTTCACGGTTATTGTCATCTCAAAGCAATTGTTTGTGTTCGTCGTCCAGTTAAAAAGGAGCTGCTTTTAGCCGTAGTTATACTGCTTGGGTTTTGAACAGACACTGTTTTTGAAGGTGCCAATCCTTATCGTACTGTTGAATTTTAAAATCGACGAAGAGGTAGGGTCGTTTTCAAGATATGGACACATTCTGTCGATTCAGTTGGCGGACTCGTTGAATGGTGGTAACGTCAGCCATGATTGTAAAAAGCTGGCTGATGCAGCTGGGAAACTTCATCTTCCTTCAAATCGTAGTCCTTAAATTTATTTTATTAAATTTACTGTGATTATCTTTTGTTTTATTTTATGTTCTTTAATCGGCGGTAGCCGGGTGGATAGTATTCCGTACTAACATTCGGAAGGCTAGAGTTCATTTTCCGCTACCACCAATATCCAAAAGTTATGGAAAACGAATTTAAATAAAAAATTGAGTAACATTTTTAATTACGGTCCTCCTCGGCAGGAAATATCTTCCCCTTTTTTTGTTTTATTTTATTTATATTTTATTTTTTAATATTGTTTCAATTTATTTTATTTTGTCTTGTATCATTAAATTTATTCTAAGCTTAATTCCTGTGATTTATTTAAATTTTGTTTTACTTTACTTTGTTTTATTTAATTTTATTTCAGTTTATATATTTTATTTTTTTATTTTATTTTATCTATATTTCAGTTTATTTTATTTTATTTTATTTTACTTATTTAATTTTATATTAAATTATTTTATTTGATTTTATTTTGTTTTATTTAATTGTAATTTAATTTACTTATTTCATTTTATTTTTTTAGCCTCTTATTTAATTAAATTAAATTTAATTCTATTTCTCTCCTTTCATCAACATATTGTTTTAATGTTTATTTAATTTTTGTTTGTATTTAATTTTTTAATTTTATTTTATTTTAATTAATTTTATATTATTTTATTTGAGTTTATTTTATTTTATTTTCCTTTGGAATTTTATTTAATTTCCTTTTGTTTCATTTAATTATTCTAGTTATATTTCCTTTGATTTAAATTAATTTCATTTTATTTTACTTGGTTTAATTTGGTTTTGTTTTAATTTATTATTTTTATTTTTTTGTAAAATTATTTTATTGTGTTTCACGTTATTTAATTTAATTTATTGTATTTTATTTAGTTTAATTTTATTTCATTTTGTTTGGTTTAATTTAATGATGATTTAATTTAATGTAATGAAATTTTATTTGTCTTATTTTATTTTTTTAACTATTTTTTTATTTTTTTATTTTAATTTTATTCGACTTAATTGAATTTAATTCTATCTTATTTAATTTTTATTTGTTGTTATTTTAATTTTTTACTATATTTTAGGGCCGATTGGCCTGATAGCTTGTGCTAATATATTTGTTTTGTAATTTGCGTTATGACTAATAATGAAATTAATAATAATAATAATATATTATTTTGCTATTGTTTTATTAATCTTTATTTAAACATTTAAAATTGAATCCATTCAGGCCAGTTAAACCAATCGTCGTCATCATAATCGTCATCACCTTGAATATTATCAATTTCTTTAAGTAACTTTTTAAACAAATTATTCAATTCGCTAATGGCATCGTTTGTTCCTTGAGGAGCTGTTATTATTTGATTAATTAAGTTCGGCGAGAATAAAGAACCACCTGAGTTAAGTAATTTCGTCAAAAGGCTAATTAAACTTTCTGGTGTCTGTGTGGTGATTGAACCTGTTGTAGTGGTGGTTTCAGCTAAATCCTCTAAAGCTCTTTTTATCTCAGACTCTTTAATGTCATTTATCTGATCCAGGGCCGCCTTTAAATAGTCTGCAATTTGAGTTTTGTTCGATTTTTCCGCAACTTCTATCACCTGATTAATTCTCATTTTTAAATTTTCTCTGCGGTCAATGTAAATTTCAAATGCCAATTTAGCTGACAACTTCCGCTCATAGGTTTTCATTTTTTCAGTATCACCAGAATCAGCAGCTAAGTCTTTGGCTTTCTGTACCTTATCTCTCTCCTCTTTGTATTCCTTTTCATCCGGTGTACTTGGATTTGTAATGTCGGCATTATCTTTAAGGAGTTTATCCAAATCCTTATCGAGCTTAGTTAAGTCAGAATTGATATTCTGTATAAATATAATTTAATTAAATTTTTGTTCAAAATATAAGCAAAAATTCTCTTTTCTACAAACTTGTGCACTGGCAAGCGATCGCAAGAATGTTAGCAATATTATGTAATACGTGAATAGTTTCAAAATCATTTTTTTTAGAAATATACAATTTCAACAATTCGCAATATGCGAAATCTCGAAAATCTACTTGAGAACTGTTGACTCCTCTTGGCAGTTTCTCGTGTTTATATATAAAAAAAAGTTGCTTAAAAGCTGCTGTTAAAAATCACGGTCACATACATACACCTACATGTAGATGGCTACGGGGTAGAACCAGCAATATGTTCGGTTCTATTCCATTATATTCATATTGATAATAGAAGTATGTCAGCGTCATAAAAAACTTTTAATTATGTAGAAATATGACTTATGTTGCATTTAAATTTTGCATGAGAAACAACAACAATGTTGATATGACAGTCATAAAAAAAAAACAAAATACCTTGTGAATACTCCATGATGACTTTTATGCTCAAATATTTGCAGGCACGCAACATAAGAAGTGCTTTTTTTTTAGTAATTTTAATTTTCAATCAAATTTTTGAAAACAAATAACTGAAGGGTAAAACATACATACATAATCTCCCGTGAATTTATATATTAATTATATATTTTTTTTTGTGATTTTTCTTGAAGATTCCAAAGTAGTTTTTTGCTGTTCATGAAATGGAACTATTTCGAAACCAATCTTTGATTATTTTAGAACATTTCGAATGAGTTCTGAATGCTAGTTCGGAACCAGCTCGAATGAAATTTTGGCACAATTATTGTAAATTGCGGTATTTAGCGGCCATTCAGACCTTATATGAACATTGAGTGGATCTAACTAGTATGCTTGCTCTGAGTACTTTTTCACACCTTGACCCAAACGATGTTAGAATATATCGATATTTTTGCATTAGCACTTTGATGTGTATTTCGGGATCAGATTTCGCGCGAGAATAATTTTGTGATAAGACCTTATGGGTTGAGTTCTTTTTTTGTGGAATATCGAAAGGTCATATTTCCAAGATTCGTTTTATTTTCTTTGAATTTTCCAAAACAAGTTTTACTTTAAAATAAGAAAAAAATCAAAATTAGTTCAAGGCTATCTTGGTACAGTATCGAGAGCTAGTTAAGGCTTCCAAATATCAATACACAGCTACAGGATGAGAAAAGGAAAGTTACCACCGAAAAGCCACTCGAGGAAACAAAGGCAAGTCAGTAGATATTGCACTAATCATTTTTCGAAAAGGGGTTTATGTACCGTTTTGTGATTTAATAAAGAGAATATTCAAAAGCAATAGGTTTTGTTCAAAAATATTCCGCGCTTTCTGAAATTCTTTTACAAAGCTTTAACTCGTGTTCAGTAAATTATTTTGAAAAAAAAATACAATTTCAAACAAAAAATGTTCTGGCATTAATTTTGAAAACAACAAAAATATGTGATGTTATTATTTTCTCTCCTTGAAAGATACGATGCTGTATCGATGCGAGTTTGTATGAATGCCACTTAAAGTTTAATTTTTAACCTTGTACAGATGTATTGCAAAGCTAGCGAAACTAGAACGATCATAAAATTTCTGTGATTTAGAATAACAATAACATTTACAAATGTTGTGATAAAGACTGAAATGAAATGTGGAGTTTTTGCTAAGCTTGCACAGAGATTATTGCACAAGAGAGCTTCTGAAAATGGGTACAAGAAGCTTTAGGTGCCATTAGAAGCGAAAAATAAAAAATTTTAATTAGTTTGCAGAAAACGCGTTGGAGAATTGTTTGACGGTTTGTAAATATGAAACACAAAATATTTTTATTTAAAAAATAATTAAAATAATTAATTAATTTTAGACTAACATAGGCAAATGGCAATGCTGCTGGAAATTGTTTGGGTTCAATGTCCATGTAGTCGACCGATTCCCATGATTTTGTTTGACAGTGTTTATTTGTATGCCCGTGTGTGGACTGCAAACTTTTATATCTTTAAATGATTTTTCGACAGATTGTTGTCCATAAACCTCATTCCTGAGTAAATCAGTCGTATGGGAGCTAAATGTTATTGTCGTCCAATTTCGATGATTATTGATAAATACGGGTATGGAATTTAAAATTTCATGCTCTTAAATGTTTAGTTGACGGATTTTTGATCCAAAATCTTACATCTGAAAAAAATCGGTGGTACGGATATTCTCCTCCGATTTCGCTAATTTTCAGCACAAATATGCAGTTCATTAATCTGACTATCTTTTTTGACAAAATTATAACCCAAATCCTCGTCTCTGGAAAATGGCTCGTTTATATACTTTCGTAGTCTGATCTGGCCACTTTCGACACATTATCGTCTGTTCACCAAATTGTTGTTGAAATACTTCAAAAACTGAGGGAATAGTTTACGTGTAAACAGACAGACAGACAGACGGGCACGGCCAAATCAATTCCAACCGTCATTCTGTCCCGATCGGTATACATTTTGATGGGTTTGTCTCTTAATATTAAATTTAATCGACTTAAATCTCTAGTTGGTTTGGAGCATCATTTTAAAATTAAAAGAATTGTCATATTGGGGAGTAAAGGCAGAGGAATATTAAGGAGAAATCCTAAAGAGGTACTCTGACCCGATCGGATTTGAGCAATAATGAGCATGATTTAGTTCGAGGAATACAAAAAGGTTAGGTTAAGTGAAACTGCTAGTCTACTTGAGAAGTCTTACATCCGTTCTCTACGGCATATGAATTAATCTCAGCATTGCCCCTCTACCTATTGTGTTTACAGTTAAGAGAGAATTGCTGTATTCCAAGCAAATGTAAATTTGACCCCTTACCCATTGCCGATTGAAAGTCCTACAATGAGACTGGTAGGTCAATGGCTGAATCTTGCACTGACTTGATTTCGCCACGCTCTTTTGTAAGAATACGATCATGATGAAACTGAATATGTTAATGAGCCATTTCACTGCGGCTAATATTTGATTCTATTGAACTATATTTGTACGCCAACTTTCCGGAGACGACTCCCGACTTTAAACACGAGGAGGGTCAAACCACCAAAATCGCATTGAAAAAAGTAGAGGTTGACAGACAGAAAGAAAGGCTTGAATGAAGTTCATATTCTCTGGTACTCTGAATCGCGAGGCTTCAAAGAGTTCTAGATGAGGTCGAACAGAAACCGAAGAGGAGTTCCACCAACAAATGTCCGATTTGGTATACTTTGGCCATTATCACTGCTAAAAGAGTCTGTTATCTGAGCGGCGTTTTTTACCGGAAAGAGTTCCACCTGGAAGCTGTGGAAGTTTGAAGGGTTAACAGGGATCTCTCTCAACGCAATAGAGTGCGGTTCCCAGTATATCAGCTAATTTTGATCCGTCCGTGTAGATTTTTTAAGTTCCGTGGGAGACAAACGTGCCTGCGACATCTACCCTCGTTTAATGTGGCTGGAAGGCTACATTCCTATCTAAAGCATATTGGTGCATTCCTCATTTCATAGTTTCACCCTTGTGTAGGGGGAGTAATCCTCGTCATGGTTTATAGTTACCAATGTCACATTTGAATTAGAAGGTCTCGCTGGGTTTTCTGAGGATTTTATTAAGCACATTTTTCTCGATGGCAGTGATATCGAGTTGAGTTTCTATGACCAGTTATTGTGCCGGTCATAATGTTAATGGAAAGCCNAGTCTGGGACACTTTGACCTTATATGAACAGTGACGGAAACATTTCAGTTAGATTTTTTGTACCCTTTGAGTGGATCTAAATAGTACTTTCTCACACCTTGTCGATTCAGTTGGCGGACTCGTTGAATGGTGGTAACGTCAGCCATGATTGTAAAAAGCTGGCTGATGCAGCTGGGAAACTTCATCTTCCTTCAAATCGTAATCCTTAAATTTATTTTGTTTTATTTTATTTTATCTTCTTCAATTGGCGGTAGCCGGGTGGATAGTATTCCGTACTGACTTCGGAAGGCTAGAGTTCATTTCCCGCTACCACCAATATCCAAAAGTTATGGAAAACGAATTTAAATAAAAAATTGAGTAAAATTTTTAATTACGGTCGCCCTCGGCAGGGAATATCCACCGCTCCGAGTGTATTTCGGACATGAAACAAAGACTCCGCATAAAAGCCATCAGCTGTTCGGAGGCGGCTTAGTATAAACTCTGTAGGTCCCTCAGTTTGTTGGAAAAAACATCAGGACGCAAAACCACAAAATGGAGGAGGAGCTTCGGCCGAAAATTGCTACAGCGATTACAAAGCGCCAATTAAATAAATAATATTTAATTTAATTAAATATAATTCAAATTGATATTGTAAAATTTGGTTTTATTATGTTTTATTTTATTTTATTTCTTCTTTTTGTAACCATATCGTTTCATTGTGTATTTTATTTGACTTTATTTAATTATCTTGTTTAATTTAAATAAAATAAAATTTTATTTTATTATTTTCATCACTATATTGGCTTATCGTTTATTTTATTTTTTTATTTTTTTTTTGTTTTATTTTATTTATATTTTATTTTTTAATATTGTTTCAATTTATTTTATTTTACCTTATTTTATTTTGTCTTGTATCATTAAATTTATTCTAAGCTTAATTCTTGTGATTTATTTTAATTTTATTTTAATTTAGTTAATTTAATTTTGTTTTACTTTACTTTATTTAATTTAATTTTATTTCAGTTTATATATTTTATTTTTTTATTTTATTTTATCTATATTTCAGTTTATTTTATTTTATTTTATTTTACTTATTTTATTTTATACTAAATTATTTTATTTGATTTTATTTTGTTTTATTTAATTGTAATTTAATTTACTTATTTCATTTTATTTTTTTAGCCTCTTATTTAATTAAATTAAATTTAATTTTATTTCTCTCCTTTCATCAACATATTGTTTTAATGTTTATTTAATTTTTGTTTGTATTTAATTTTTTAATTTTATTTTATTTTAATTAATTTTATATTATTTTATTTGAGTTTATTTTATTTTATTTTCCTTTGGAATTTTATTTAATTTCCTTTTGTTTCATTTAATTATTCTAGTTATATTTCCTTTGATTTAAATTAATTTCATTTTATTTTACTTGGTTTAATTTGGTTTTGTTTTAATTTATTATTT